GAACAGAGACTAAGGAGATGGCAAGAGATGAAGACATTTGAGGAAGGCTAAACAGGGGTTTGTCAGTTGGGTAGAGTGGAGAAAGGGGATCAGGCAAAGCAAACAACTGCTGGGTTCTGTCAATGAATCAATTAATGAAGTATATGGAAGAATGTAAGATCAGAAAAAGGTACAATGCATAAACTAAAGTAGCTTATTTGGGAAACAACTCTTATCAATCACCAACTAATCAAATTCTGATTTTGTCTTGTTTTTAAAGTAGGCCTTAGTAGAGAACAGCCTTTACCCAAGTTTCTCCATAAGGTGAGAATAGTTGAGTGGACTTCCACTTGGGTTTGCTCTCGGATGCTTTGTGTTTTCCCAGAATAATATTTAAGAAAATATGGTTCATCTGTTACCTGTGTGGAGAATAAGCTTCCTGGAGAAGAATAAGTTGTAAGTAGTTTTAAAATAGAGAATCTTGGGACCTAATCCTGGCACAATGAATCATAATCTTGGGCAAGAGATATGGAGCCTGTAATTTTTCATAAGTGGATTCTTAAAGAAGGTTTGAAACCACTGGCCTAGGAAGAAGTTTACTCTCAAACATTGCTCTCTCAGTTTGATAATCAAAATCATTTGTCTATTTAACTTAATTATTTTAGCCAACACTTTACCTGTATTTGTTCTGCTATTACTTGAATTTAAACTTCCTGCATCTTCTTTGTCTAGAAAAAGGTAATTTTCTCTGCTCCTGGGACCTCCACTCCCACCCCCTTACAATCCAAGGAGGATCACTCTAGCTACACCTATTCTTCCAGTCAGTAAAAACGTTACCATGACAACGTCACATCTATGTCTTCCACTTGGCTGCACATGAGAAGCACAGATTGGCTTACCCAGGGTCCATCCTGTAGCAGCATGCACAGGCAATCTATGGAACCTTGTTTGTGATGAAGATTGGACACTGTTATTAATTTTCCAGAACCAAGGATTCTGGAAGTATAGGACATAATCTCATTTCACTCTAGCTATTGATTTCTTCCCAACTGATAGGCTGGATTTGGGGATAAAGTTACTTTGCAAATAATGGATAAAGTCCATTCTTTATCCTGGTAACAGAAACTTTTTAAAACTACTTTTATCTCCCCATCCTAGCATTTAAATCCAATTAAGTTTCAGAAACATTTACTGAGTGCCCACTATGCCCTGTGCAAGTCTTCTTGCTGAAGATTTTTAAAGGAATCAAACCACTTTTTACATTAATGTTTTAAAAATTTAACACACAATGCATTTTAAACAAAGCTATAGTTAGAGCTATGTCATTAAATAAGGAGCCATCGATAATAGAAGTTCATTCCTCTAGGATTCTATTGGAAGTCATCAGAAAAATAAGACTCCAAATTTCTTCTATCTATCCACTACTCCTTCCATACATCCTTCCTTCCATCTGACAAGAACTGTGTGGAAGGCCCTGTGCTAGCTGCTGGATATAAAATGGTGAGCAAACAAATTTCTCTCCTGCCCATTGGAAGTGTATAGTCCTGGAGGCAAATAGAAAGCTCCAAACCCTAGGTTCAATTCGATCTCTATTTGTACAGGTTTGAGGAGTCAGTGAATTTCCCAAATTCTCTATTTCGTTACGTGGAAGGGGGCGGCCCTGTCTTTTGCACAGGGCAGTTGGCAGAATTGTATTTGAGTTCACCCTAACATTTCGATGTGCTATATAAATATAATAATTGTGAATTAAGTTTGATCCAAGTAGTGGAGAAAATAACCATCTCTGTACATAATGGAGAGGAGTAAAAACTTTTGAAATAAGAGGCAGGAGACCTGAGTTCTAGTCCTATCATTTCCACTGACTTGTGCCCATGCCCTGCCTGTGGGGCAGGGAATCTCCCTTGGCCTTGATTTGAGCTGATTGATTTATAGCTTCATGATTCTCTCAGGGTATGCCACTAGGAAAGGTAAACCTGCAGAAATGCAGAGCTCAAGGGTCTTTTAAAAGCTAACCAATTCCATCTGTTCCCACGTCAGGCTTCCTGAAGAGATCTGACTTTCCTTTCAAAGGCCTCTTAAGAGGCAAATATCTCAGCCTGTCTTGGAACCCAGTGCAGGGAGTTGTCTAGGAGTGTTCAGGAGTTGGCTGCAGGGGGCACACAGGTAATATTTGTGTTGGCTAGAGTGCTCCACAAGCTGTGCAGGGAGGTTTCAAAATGTGGAGGCTGTTAAACATCCTGACACCCACTTAAGTGGGCATCATGGGAGCAGGAGCTCCATGAAGTGTTTGGTATGTACCTAAAAGGCTCTGCCCGTGCAGATGTGAAGAACCTGCCCAAGGTGCAAGTGCTGGTTTTCTTGCTAAGGCTCTTTAACCTGGCATCTTGATGTAGCATGGAAATTCACGACCCCATTTCACCCCATCTCTCTGCAAGGGACTCTAGCCCTGACACTGATGCACATGGACTCCTGCAGATACCTGTTGCTGATCTCATTTACTCTAGGAATGTGTTTGCTTTCTTATGGTTGTTTGGGGAGAAGGAGCATATTTGTGGGAACACACATAATTCAGAAATGCTGAGTTTTAACAATAGGGGGCTAGAGGGATTTCAATATGGAACAAGGAAAGACCTTGGAATAGAATAGATTCAGGTTTGAATCCTGCCACTTACATGTCATACGGCGCTAGGCAAGTCTCTGCTTCCTCTGAACTGCTTGTCTAAGGACAATAATGCACCCTCACCTCCTAGGACTGTGGTACGATTCAAAGGACTGGGGGAAGGGATGGCTGTGGGCACAGCTTCAGCAGACTTAACCATTCCTGCCTGCTGGCTCTGAAGAAAGCAGCAGATCTCCCAGCACAGTGCTCAAGTTCTGCTAAGGGACAGAATGCCTCCTCAAGTGTGTCCCTGACTCTCATGCCTCCTGACTGGGAGACACCTTCTAGAAGGGGTCAACAGATCATACAGGAGAGCTCTGGCTTGCATCTGGAGGGTGCCCCTCTGGGACGAAGCTTCCAGAAGAAGAGACAGGCAGTAATCTTTGCTGTTCTGAAGACTCCACTGGTTTACCCAGACAAACAGGGTCTGGAGTGGACCTCCAGCGAATCCAGCATACTTGCAGCCAAAGGGCCTGACTGTTAGAAGAAAAACTAACAAACAGAAAGGAATAATATCAACAAAAAGAATTTCCACATGAAAACCCCATCTAAAGTTCATCAACATCAAAGACCAAAGGTAGATAAATCCATGAAGATGAGGAAAAACCAGGTCAAAAGGCTGAAAGTTCCAAAAACCACAATGCCTCTTCTGCAAAGGATCACAACTCCTCACCAGCAAGGGAATAAAACTAGACAGAGAATGAGTTTGACAAATTGACAGAAGTAGGCTTCAGAAGGTGGGTAATAACAAACTCCTCCAAGCTAAAAGAGCATGTTCTAACCCAATGTAGGGATTCAGGACTTGAACTCAGCTCTTGAACTTAGCTCAAGCTAAGAACCTTGAAAAAAGGTTGTAGGAACTGCTAACTAGAATAATCAGTTTAGAGAAAAACATAAATGACCGGATGCAGCTGAAAAACACAGCATGAGAACTTCATAAAGCATACACAAGTATCGATAGCCAAATCGAT